ATTAGGTACCGAGATGAGATCCTAAGACCATATGCTGGTGCGGTTGGCCCTGGGTTCCTCCTAATGCAAGACAATGCTATACCTCATGTGGCTGGAGTGTGTCAGCAGTTCCTGCAAGACGAAGGCATTGATGCTATGGTCTGGCCCGCCCGTTCCCCAGACCTGAATCCAATTGAGCACATCTGGGACATCATGTCTCGCTCCATCCACCAATGTCACGTTTCACCACAGACTGTCCAGGAGTTGGCAGATGCTTTAGTCCAGGTCTGGGAGGAGAAACCCTCAGGAGACCATCCGCCACCTCATCAGGAGCATGCACAGGCATTGTAGGGAGGGCATACAGGCACGTGGAAGCCACACACACTACTGAGCCTCAATTTGACTTGTTTTAAGGACATTGTATTAAAGTTGGATCAGCCTGTAGTGTGTTTTTCCACTTTAATTTTGAGTGTGACTGCAAATCCAGACCTCCATGGGTTGAAAAATTTGATTTCCATTTTTTAATTTTTGTGTGATTTTGTTGTCAGCACATTCAACTATGTAAAGAACAAAGTATTTCAGAAGAATATTTAATTCATTCAGATCTAGGATGTGTTATTTTTGTGTTCCCTTTATTTTTTTAAACAGTGTATATATATATTTTTTTCTTTAATTATTATTATTATTATTACATTTTTCTATTTATTTTTGTAGGTCTGGACTTTGACTGTTCAGTAAAAAGATCCCACCTTTGCTTACAGTATTTTTTATTTTGTGATGGCATGTTCTGCAAATAAATCTTAAAACTCCAGTACTTCTCTATGAATAGCATAGTTTAAACACTTGAATACATTGCATATGAATCATATGCATGAAAGAACTGTATTAAAACACAGAATTCTTGCAAATGTTATCTTTTGGATGCAGTCAGCAGGTGAACTCTTGTGCTTTGAGTTTGTATGCAGGTTTCCGTTAATGTTATACATACTTTCTGAATACCTTTTGATTATCATATTTTTTTCCACATTTTATGTTTGCACAATGTGGAGATTTTCGTTTAGGAGAGAGGCTTTAGTTAATAAAACTGGCTGTCAAAACTGAACAGAAGGACCCTTTGTCCCTGACACAGTGTACACTGAATTATTTAATCTTGTACTGGCTATGATACTTGTGTTTGAAGGCACATGCATAAATTTTACAAACATGTAACCGAAGGGGGTTTGTATTATTGACTATGTATTTGTTACCACAAACGGTTTCCTACGTAACTTTATGAAACAGGGTGGCTCGTCATGAGAAAGTCAAATAGTGGACAAAACACATAGAGGCAGGCAAAGCATACATATAAGGAGACGTAGAACAACCCAAAATAATCGGAGATTGAGGAATATCCAATTATATTATATTATATCCAGTGTTATTATAACACTGAATTCTACAGAGACATTTATTCTGGAAGTCTTTCGAGAGATGTTTGGGGACCCTTTTTGTAACTGCAGGTCCCATAGATTGTAGGTCCTTATACCCTATTTATTGATCGCTCTACTTTGGCTATTGCACTATTTTTATTATTTACGGTTACTTGTTGATTTACCACTCGTCATTGTCCACTTATTGCCATTCATTATGATAGTAATTAGCTCTGCGAAGGGCAATAACGTGTTCTATCCCCGAAGGAGGTCTTAGCATTTTTTGATCTTTTTAATCATTTATAAATGTAACAAATTTAAGCTGGTCAGTAATTTTGTCTCTCCCTTTAACTTTTGTTTTACAGTGAAGTTAGACCTAACTGCAACCCTTTTCTTATCCTCTCTGTGGCTGGCAATGAGTGTCAAAGATAATAATTTGATGAGCTAGGCCTTTGTCTGGCTTTGCTCAGCTTGTGACATTAGTTTAAATGCAAGAAAGAACGGAGCAAAAGTAACTGCTGCCAAAATGATTGTGGGGCCCAGTTTTTTTCTAAGGCTGCGGCAAGTTATTGGATGCAAATTATGCCGAGAGGACTGAAATAGAGCAATTGTGGTGAATTACGGCAAGAGGTGAAATTTGTCGGGTTGGGATGAGATATAGCAAGAGGAGGGATGGATGGCAAAGGGAGACATATGTAGCATAGGGTAACTAAGGCCTGAATCATAGGAATATTGACTGAATATTGCAAAAGCGTAAAAACTACATTACAGTGGAATAAAAAAAGAAGAATGAGTAGAATTTCTACAAGTTGCAGATTATGACGGGATGAAATGAATAGGTGCTAACTGTAATGGTTGGATAGATATGATAAGTGGGAATGTGTGAGCTGTGCATGTATCACATAGTCCCATAGAATTGTACAGTATAATAGTGAATATAGTGCTCTGTTACAGTAATAGAGATATAGGGTTATAAAGACAAACATACCTTTCCAGTGTTTTATATAGTGACAATTAATTAGGCAATGGGTAAACATACAGATATGTTGTGATATACAGAAACAAAATATGATGAAGATCCTGGTCAAACAAGCTTGCACTCTAAAAAACACTAAGGAACACAGACGTGCCGTGTGGTCAATACTTTTGTAGATTACTGTGGAGTATATAATGGGTAGTAGACATGCCGAGTGCTTCCTCCCTTCTACCTCCATATTCTGTCTCTGCTCTTACGCTGACCGACTGTCTCGCATCTGGCTCACTCAGAGTGAGCAATACTAGGCTTGTGAATAGCTATTCATACTAACATTCAGAGCACTGATCAGCTACTGGAGGTTTGGACTCTTTGTTTCTTGTATTCCTAATTGAGATTATACTGGATAAAATATGTAGTCCTTATAAACCAGACATCAGAGAGAAAGGTATGCTTGCTACAGTATCTTTTTGTGTTTTTAGATTCACCATGTTTTCCTGTACAGATATAACTTGTGGAGAATTCAGATGCTGTAGCGAGTAAAACTATTCTTTAATTAAGAGGAACCCTGCAGCATATGAATTCTATCGGTCTGAAGATGTGATATGTGTTAAGGCAGCATGATGGATCCAGAAACACAAAATGCATCGCAGGTGCCTGAAATATACAATATATTTTCATTAGAGTCTACCTGAATGAAGGTATTAAATGGTTTTATTATAATAGCTTTCTATTTTGTGCAAGTCTGTGTTTTATTTTTAAGCCTTGAATGATGAATTTATTTTATGATAAAATTGTTTTCATGTAGAGTGCATCTGAAGGAAGCAATAACACAAATTAAAAAAAACAACCACAAAAAAACTATAAACTAGCGTGTTCTTCCCAGTGATGTATTCTACTCAGATTTTTATATTTTGTTTATTCTCTTTTTATTTTGCAGTTCTTATTAATATCTATATCACAATAAAAATCAGTCAAGGCAATGAGAAGCAATACTGCAATGCAGATATTATATAGATATGCTATTTCAAATAACTGACACATGTCGGATATAACCATCGGGATCCTGGCGGTCTAAAGCTTTATTGTCAAAGCACAAGAACTTTGAGCTGCGAGTCATTTGAAGTCGAATGACTTGTATCTGAATCATGCAAAATATTTATTTGGGAAAACTGTACAAGAAGCCAGTGATGAACATTTCTCATAACACAAGCCAGAGGGAAGTTGCTTACTTTCAAAATATGTTAGAACTGGGGGTGTTTAATTGCAGTCTTTGAGGGCCGCCAACACAACACATTTTTTAGGATGACACCTGGCATATTGCTTGATTACACGCTAAAGGGAGACAATTTATAGTTTTGGAATCTTTCTGGTTCTTGGGAATATGGTTTGACACCTTGTGCTATAGCAAACTATAAGCTATTTATTAGTGGGGGGTTTTCTAAGTGTGCATATCAAAGCAGTTACTTCGGCATTCAAAGCACAGTAGCTTTATTTGACATTATACACCGCCAAATGGCTTGGAGAAAAAGAGTGGGTGGGCAGGATTTTACCATCTTGCATTTATTACATCACAAGATATAACAGCATATAAGCGATTTATGCTGGTTTGCCAGTAACCTTACAACCTACTTTAATGCATTTGTTTTATACATGTTATCCATGTTATTTTGATTTGATTTGGGATTACATTTACTATTTAGTGTCTGGCATATGAAAACACTTTGTTTGTGATCGTTGCTGCTGCACAATATTGTTTGTGCCTTTAAATTAAAGTTATAGTATGCAAATTACATATTGACACAAATCAATGGCAAAGAAAAAGCAAATGCTAAATCATCATGTCTCGATAAATGCAAGACCACCAAAATAGTTTTCTGACAATATTATGCGGGATGTCCACTTGTGGTAGAGCAGAGCTAAACACTAATTCAACAATAAGGTGCCTCTGATTCCTGACAGTTTCCTGGCAAAGCTAGACCTTAAGGAGAGACCTGGCAAAGTTCCCTGTTGAGAAACGTAATCAGTTGGAAAGCATATTGGTGCTTAATTAGAGGATGAATGAAGGGCAAATAGTATAGAAAGTGCAGAATTTGGATGGAATGGAATTGGTTTAGTAGCATTCTACCATGAGAGAAAGATGGCATACTGCATTTTAGAATATAAAAGCTCTCCATAAAATATATATATTTTATTGATCTACTGGCATCAAACCAACTTAGCTTAATGAAACAGGTTTGGTGTATAGATCATGCCCCTGCAGTTTCACTGTTCAATTACCTGCCATTAAGGAGTTATATCACATTTGTTTCTGTTTATACACAGTCTGCATAAAAAAAGGTTTTATTGTACATCAGATGTTAAATTACTTTAGAAGTTTTTATCTTCTGTTTTTTATATTATTTTATTTTATTCAACTTAAATCACACACAGGAGGCTCTTGCAGGTCTAAAAGACTGTTAACAGAGCAGGAGATAATAATTTCTAAATTAGACGGGGGCGACATATCCTGGTGCTAAACCGCGATGGTTGCTTAGTTGCTGTTCTGCTGCCCACAGGATTTAGAAGCTCAATAAATGGCAATATTTCAGGCATGGGACAGTTAAATAAGCTTTATAGAGACCCTCTCCACACCCAGGATGAAACCCAACTACCTTGATCCAACTATCCTCGATCCACAGCTATATGTGGACCCCAGCCATTCTCCAGTCGAGCTCGACCTTGACAATAGGTCATCAACCTTGCTAGGATCCTCGGCCTCAAGAAGCAGTGGAGATGTCCAGAGCACAAATACACTTCCAGATTGGTATTCCCTATTTGCCTCCCTACCCAAGTTGGAGGATTTCAATAATTTAATTGATGAAGTCAAACAGACCTTACAAACGGAGTTATTTGATCTTCGTCAATCCCTCACTTCATTAAAGACCCGAGTGCAGACCTCCGAGATTCAACATACAGAAACCTCACAGAATGTGGCAATGCAACAACAGTCGTCCCACATCATTGACATGCAGCACCAGTTGGAGAACATTGAAAACAGACAGCACAGAAACAATATTAGGGTAATGGGGATTGAATGGGTGAAAGGCCAGGAAGATGATGCCCTCTTTAACCTCATTTTGGGGCACCCCTCATCAAAACCCATAGCAATAGACAGATCACATAGGGATTTTCACCTGTACCCCCCGCTGCTGCCCTTCCAAGAGATATAATCTGCCATCTCGGACCAGAGTTGCAAGGTTAAGGATATTCTGTGAACACAACATGGAAAGACCTTTACAGATTCACCATACAAAACTGAGGAGCTTTCAAACACATTACAGATCTCTTGTCCTCTCAAAACATCCGATACCATTGGCAATTTCCATTTACCCTAATGGCAAGGAGAGGCAATGTTGTGGCATTCATTCAACTCCCCGCAGATGTCCCAGTTTTTCTCAACACCATGGGGCTGCACAAGACCACCGGTCAGGGCTTGATACTATACCCTCCATCACAGGATACACTCAGCAGCCCACTATGCCCACCCCACTTGCCTTGTCCCAAAAATAATTGGGGTAATCAGAAGGATACAGATATCAAGTACAGTTTTAATTTTTACAAGACTACCTAACATCATCTATTTTAGCAAACAAATATGGAGATTCAGTAACACCATATAGCCATATTGTGTTATGCCCACCACTATGTCACAGTACCCCAGTATCGGTGGGTCCTACACTAATTTAGCATGGGAGATTAGCATGACTGCTTAAACTGATTTCAGACACTCTACTCAATTTATGCTTTCCTATGCTCACCTCCAAAAGGGCACCTATAATGGATAGGAGGGGTGCTCAACCCAATATAAATATGGTGTGGATTCCAAATTTACACAGAAAGAAAGGGGAATTGGCCCTTATTATTAGGAATGGGAAGAGACCGTGTTGTTTCCCTCACCCATCCTATTCATACTAAGCCTGTGATCTAAATGCTGTCAGATCACAGCCACATATCAAGAGGATTAAGGTATGGGGACACCAGCATAAAATAGCAGCATATTTGGACGAAACCCCAATTTTTTTTAGCAACCATAACAAATCCAAAGCCCTGGAATATGTATCACTTCAGCCCTGCAGTGCTATCTCCAACATACCTTCTCATTTTGTTGGTGCGTAGAATCATTCAAATTTCTGGGTATGCTAATCCCATTGGACTTATCAAAAGTAAACACACTGAACTTCCCTCCCCTCCTACAGACATTTAAAACAGACCTGCTACATTGGTCTATGCCACACATCACATGGCTGGGTAGAGTGGGGGTATTAAAAATAAAATCACTCCCCAGATTTCTGTACCTCCTACAAACTTTCCCAATCCGCGTATCTCCGTCCTTTTTCATGTAGGTGAAATTCTTGTTCCTTACATATCTCTGGCAGACTTTGATATGACATACTAACCAATACAAAGCTGCATGGAGGACTGTCTGCCTGACCTCACTCTTTACCATACATATATACACCTTCAGCGTGCAGTGGAGTGGTCAACTCTAGACTGCACCAAAACCCTGGCTGGAAATTTAAAATGAATATTAAATGAAAAAGGAACACAACCAATAAATGTAAGGGATGGACTAAATTAATATTGCAAAACAATAAGAGAAGAGGGAGATATCAAAGGCATAAAAGAAAAAAAAAGGTCCCCAATGTTTCAGCAAGAAACCTTTGTCAAGAGAGCATGGTCATTTTTTTCTTCTCTTGTACCTTTGATATCTCCCTCTTCTCTAATTGTATTAGTTTAGTTCTGCCATTTATCTAGTATGTATTTTGTTTGTTTTGTGACATTAGATTGATTGTTAGAATTGTGTGTTATTTCTGTTTTGTGTAACCATTTATATTTTGTTTTTGTATACCATTTGTCATATATTAGATGTGTCTTATGACAACATGCTACCGGTAGATGGTGATTTGTTTCTGTAGATATTATTTTCTTTGGACATATTTTGGATATTGTACATGTGTTTAGTATATAAAGAACAAAGCTGTTTGCTACTTATTGGTTATTATTTATACTTATTGGTTGTGTCCGTTTTCATTTAATATTCATTGTATCTTGAGACTCTATGAGGAAAAGAGTCATTGAGTGAGCACCCATTTGTCTAGAATAGGATAACATTTTCTCTTTTTTGTTTTTCCTTGTTTCTTACTATGTTTTCATAGTGTGACCTTCTTTTTAATTATTTTTCTATATTGGAAATTTAAAATGCCCTGGCTCCATTTACATTGTACTCGCTGCAATAGCTAATTCCCTCAAATGACATTCATACACCAGGTGATTACCCCACCATACCTACACATTACATATATCGTGTCATCAGGCCCCTAGATACACCACCATTCTCTCTCCAATGACTCCAATAACAAACAATCCTTTATTCCCTACAGCCTGCGCTTCTTCATTTCTCCAGATTGTGGGGCGTTCCTTTACACTGAGACCTCCACATTATCGCGAACATGGTTTCCAAGGAATACCTCCTGGGAGCCCACTCAGCAAACTTCCTCAGCCGCTTCCTGTATCATCAATTGGCTCACGTTGTCCATTCTCTTTTTAGAGACCCAAAAGTGTGTGACGTTACTCCCATGGATATCTCTTCCTTTGTACACAATTTACTTATGTCAACTAACGTTACTTTCTTTGAGACAGAATTGTAGTGTTTTCAAATCTACTGAAAGCAAATTTATTGTACTTTCACAAATTTCTATTTTGCTGACACTGAATAAAAGCTGAATGACAAAAAAATTAAATCTTAAACAGAATGTGCAATACAGGAGGTTTACACATTAGATCTCTCTTTACAGGAAGTGTTTAAGAAGGCTGTGCAAATCACTTGCGGGGAGGTGTAACTAGTGCTGTATAAACAAAGTGATAAAACTCCTAAATGACAGAGAATTGAGCAGTGAAACTGCCTATAGTATACTTTTAACATTAAATATCTTAAAGGTTAAGGTTTTGAATATATTTTAATATTGATATATTCTAATTAAATCTCTGAGGTAAAAAATAAAATTAAAGTATATGTGAACTGTATATGGAGAAGCATTTAATAGCATATTGTGTTTTTAAGGCAGTAGTAATTTCTTCATTGTGTTAAAGAAACATTATACAAGCACTTTTTTCAAAGTTAAACTATGGCTAAAAGCTAGCTTTATCTGCCATTGTAATATTTACTACTTTACAATATGAATCCTACTCTGTACCTGTTCAATTCCTGAAGGGCATTGGCACTAGTGCTAAAATAAAAATTCAAAGGAAGAATAAAGTTTCTGCGATGTCATATACCAGGGGTGCCCAAAAGGTAGATCCCCAGATGTTTTAATACTACAGTTGCCATAATGCCTTGTCATTGTAAAGGCATGCAAAGCATCATGGGAATTGTAGTTCTACAACATCTGTGGATCTACCTTTTGGTATATAAAAGGTGTATAATCCAATACAATACAAACAGATTATAAATCAGATCATGTGTATTTATTTGTAATATGTTTTCCCAAGAAGCATACATTCAGAATTCTCTTGTTTTCATAAGTGTCCCGGAGTGAAGAAATCTCAACAGTTGTATACCTTCTGGAAACACACAGTTTTAGATTTAAATATTCAAATTTATAATATCAACTGTGCACGGAAATGAATAAAGCATGGGTTTAAAATAATATTTTACTGTAGGTTGGAAGCATTGCAGGAAAAAGTAAAGTAACAATTCGATAACAGTGTGTGTATTCCTATGCGCTGCAGGTAGAAACCAGCTGGGATTTGATCATTATAATTAGTGTTATAATAGCGTGTACATCTTAATTATCGAATCTTCTCTTCAGGAGCGTCAAGAATTCATACGTATAAGAACAATTTAGGCTCAGCTCAGCCAAACTATTTTTCTTGAAAATTGAAACATTTTTGGGACACCCGAATGCCAGCCAAATGTCAGAATATTGTATCTGAGATTCCATTTCGAGAACCATATCAGAAGAACTAACAAAGAACAAAATGGGCCAAACAGTCTCCTGCAAAATATATACATTACATAATATTAATATACATTGGGTTCACAGATCAATAGAGTGAAAAACAGGAGTAGTAGTAAAAAAATATCTATATGTATAATATATAAATACAGTATATTTTTTTTACTGAGCCTCATTTTTTTTCCCTCTATCGCTCACCTCTCACGTGATCTGTGAATAAAATCAACATTTAAAGTCTGTCCCCTAACCATCAATTATCATTTTTCTATAAATCATCTTTAGAACTACGAGTGGACTTTAGAATCCCAAACTGAACATGATCAGCATTGCACATTTCGTTTAGGTCTTGATCTGGATACATTTTAGCTCAGAATTATGAAATTCATATGATCTCCCAAATTTGGATGAATTGCAGTCCGTCCTGAAATAAATCTCCAAGTCTAATTTGTTGTCTAATGTTTACATAATGTTGCAGTCATGTAACAAGCTAATACTTGTGAAGATATATACTGCACAAACTCAGGAATTGGTGATTGTCCACTAACCTGGTTTCGATCATATGTATCGGATCGCTCGCAATATGTGTCCATTTCTGACAGCGACTCCCTCCCTCTCCCACTCATGTGTGGTGTTCCCCAAGGTTCCATTCTCGGCCCCCTACTATTCACATTATTTATAAATGATCTGCCTAATGTCTGCAAATCCTCAAATATACACATTTTCGCAGACGACACAGTAATCTATGAAAGCAAGTCCGATCTACCGCAGCTTGAGGCTGTGCTCCAAGACCAGTTTACAGAGGTAGAAAAGTGGATCGCATAAAACAAACTCTCCTTAAACACTGACAAAACTGTCACACTGATCTTTGGAATAGTACCTCAATTACACAAATTACACAATTCCCACCTATCCATCAAAACAAAATCAAATGGCACACTGACCGCAGTCCACTCTTTCAGATACCTGAGTATGTTGTTGGACCCCAATCTATCTTTTGGCCTCCACATAGAAAAGCTTGCATCTAAACTTTATCCAAAACTAGGTGCCCTGTACAGAAACAAATCCTGCCTAAGCCCTATAGTAAAGGAAAAGATTGTACAGCAAATGATGATGCCAATCATTGGTTATGGGGATGTAGTAAATACACCTGCACTGAAAATTCACCTTAATAAACTTAATACATTGTATAACTCGTTCTGCCGCTTTGTGCTACA